AGGCATACAGACAGTAACCGATGAATCTTTGAAGAAGCCTTAAACTTAGTGGAACCACTCCGGTGCACATCAGAAAGCCAAGACGCCTTGGGGTACTGGTTCCAAACTCCGCGTCGAGAACCAGCGAGGAGAGGGTATCTTGGCCAAGCTTGCCTGGAGCCGTAGGGATTTGAGTTTCGCTCTCTTTGCTTAGAAGGCTCTGAAAGGGCGTTGCGGCTCGTGAGGGAAGGATAAGGAAGCTCGAGAGGAAGCTCGAGGCCCAAGCTCCAGACCAGCAATCCCAGACCCTAGCAGGGGCCGGATATCCACGGCCCTCAGCCGTAGCTCTGGTCGTTTAGAGCCTAGAGCTTACTTGCAGGGGTTCTGAAGGGGTACAAGGGTTCCACCACTGGCTCTCCTCCTCGACGGCAGTCATTGGCCCTTTGCCTCATGATCCCCTGTCCCATCTCTTGATGAGGATGGCTGAGGAGCTGCTACCCGCTTCATGAGCAGTGGGCACAACGCTCCGCAAAATAACGAATCCTTCTCCGAACAAGTTTCACCAACCTCACCATTTATAAACAAATTACGAAAGCCCCTGTTTTGGCATCCCAGAGGCGCAGCTCCAGCTGGTTCAATTCGGGCTCGGCAGCCAGGCCTCCGTGAAGCAACGATGGCTTCGTGCTGGCGAAGTGGGCAACCGACCACGAAGTCGCATAGTTTTTGGCCGAGGCGAGACTGAGCTCTTAAATCTAAGATCCTTTTCCTTCCCCCTCCGAGGCCTTCGAACCAGGTGCTGAGCGCCCCCTTGCAGGCGAGCGATTGGGGCTTCTCGTGCGACAGGACTGTTGCGGGGAATTTGCAGCATGCATACTCTGCAGTCGCAAAACCCTGCATTCCGAACGGCCTGCAGGCCCCGAGCACTCGTCCCGATCGCTGCAACCCTCGGCATGCAATTTGCACTCTGCCTCCCGCACGGCGCCAGTCATGAGACAGACATCAGCAGGCAGGGTTCATGGGTCGCCATGCGCCGCACAGGGCAGCAATTGAAAGTCGAGGATCCGTGAGAGGCTCGGGGGTTCAGCTTCAGTGCCTGATGTGGAGAGGACTCAGCCGTCAAATGAAAGTACCTCTCCTCCCGGTGCTGTGGTGCCGAAGCGAGCCGAGAACCCAATCGCCTTTCCGAAGACAGGTGCGTGGAAACTGACAGAACATGACCGACATGTGAGATGAGTTGAAGTGACATGATGCAAAAGTCAGAACCCAAGAAGACTTGTGAGCAACGTCCGGCTGACGGCACATTTTGCTTGATGCCTTTTGCTCTACATGCTGGATCAAGCTCGCACGGCCGCGCAGCACATCCACAGAGTGACTGCAGTGTAAGCTCGGGCGGAGCTTTCTCTGTAGCTTCGTGGTTCTGATGCTTCAAGGCTTCATAAGGGCTTTGTTTACAGGGTCTTGTATGGGCTTTAGAATTTAAAAACTTTAGAAATCTGTACAAGGGGTTGCTGCTAACCTTTGCCGTGGAATCATGTTCGTGGCTGTGCCAAACGCATCTACGCGGCGGCCTGATCGAATCTTGTACAAGCTGTGGTCAGAACGCTGTCTGAAACAGAAAACAGACGGCGTTCCTCTACCACCATTAACAGAGGGGCCTGAATGGTCAGAAAAACACTTCTCTCCATCATCCAGATGACTTGGATCAGACAACACCCCAATCTCGCCTCTCCTTTCCATCCTACCCCTCCCTAAAGCCGACTCTACATTCTTCAGGCCCCTTTTTTGAAGCACAGAGGAGCCCCGTCTCACACGGGCTCCGGCAAGAATATTCTCCAGGCCTTAAGCCTGAAAGATTTGGCCCAGCAACTACACAAACAGTTGCCTTGCAAGAGCAATCACGGGGGGGGTGAGGCGGTGGCTTAACCACTAGTAGCAGCAGTGCTTTCGGAGTGTCCGACACTGTTCTTGCCAAGTTCGTCGGGGATCTTGTGGACCGGGTGTCTGCCCTGCGCCTAGGGAAAGGACGGTGGGCTCCAAACCGAAGAAGGCTGCTTTGCATCCCAGCTCGGCGTGGCCCTACAAATCTGACACATGGTTGGCCAGAACAAAACATTTACCAGATCCAGGATTTGGAGGGAGTCGTAAACAAATGCCTACCCGAAGCTAGTTCTACTTCTTAAAGCTGATTCGATTCAGTAGCCACTTCTGAAACGTCTTTGGGTTTTTGAGGCCTCGCAGCTTTGAAGAAGCTCGTAGCGCCGGCATCTTCAAAAGTCTCTACTCGACTTGGTCTGGTGCGACCTTCAAGGACTGCAGCCTTCAGGAGATCCTCATGGCACGGCTGAAGCCTAAAAAACCCGACATCCTCTCCCCACAAACCGTTCAGACCTTAAGCTCCATGAGAGGTTGCTTTACACGTGTTCCTACCACTTGGAAGCCGTTAACATGAGCAAGTCACCCTTAGCTCGAAACACTGAGGCCCTGAACTCCTCCCTCGTAGAGATTTAGCCCAAAATCAAAAACCCAAGAGCCCAAAAATGCCCGGTTTTAGCACAGGGATGGCTGATCTCAGTCTCAACGTTTGGGCAAAACCTTCGGAAGTCACGGCCGACGGGAGGATACCAAGAAGGGCAGCTTGATATCGCGCAAAGTAGGCCTCGGGGTTGGCTCCTGGCTCACGTGGGCGAAAAAGGTGGGGTCAGGCGAAGGTGAGGTGGACGCGGGGCATCCAGCCAAGCCTTGTGGAAATCGCCCTCTGCTCCTCTTCACAGCTAGCCATGGCATCCGGACCCTTTTACGCCGCAAGCTCCGAAACCCCAAGCCCTCATCATCCCAAGCTCCTTCGGAATGAGGGGCGTCGGTGATGCGTCGCGACGGGGAAGGGCAGGCGACTTCGGGGCCTCTCTCTAGCATGGTTTGTGATCATGCAGCACCACATGTTCCAGCATACGAGAACGTGCATACATGCATGCATGCATGCATGCATTAATGCATGCATGTATGCATGTATGCATGCATGTATGTGTGTATGTATGTCCTTACGTATGTACGTACGCATGACTGAAAGTATGTCTAGCATTTTGTCTATGAGTGCATGATAGTGCATGTCTGTCCGTAAAACGCTTATGTAGGTAGGTTTGTATGTATGCATGCAGTCGGACAGCAGGGGAGAAAGAAAGCAAAGACCAGAATCGGCGAGAGAGGATGGAGATGGGGGGTCTTCAACACCGCAGATTGCAAGGGCACACGCTTACAACACCAAGGGAAGGCAGGTGTTGGTCCGCTCTTGCTGTTCGTGGCACGTATCGTGCCAAGACAGGCAAATACAAGAAGATGTGCATGCATGATCCCCCTCCAAAATACCGACGTGGGGTTACCCCCGCATTGTATAATATATTTTGGGGTCGGGGCCAGATTCGTGCTTATAAAATGAGGGGGGGTAACGTTTGACAACCCCCGAAGTCATTTTAAACTGGGAGGGGGCAACCCACTACACATTGGTTTTGGACGTCATCCACCCCATTTTTTTCAGGAGTGCTCCCCTGTGCAGAACAAACCTGAAACCTTCACGAACACTACCACATACCGCCACCACCACCGCCACCGCCACCACCACCACCAAAACCACTCCAACACCACTTAAACCCTCATCACACGCACTACAGCCTAAACCCGTAATTTCAAAATCAACCATGCTGAAGCCTAAGGCCAAGCTCTGCCATGGTTTGCGTGAAACATCGTAACCGCTAGCGGACCGGCAGCAACAGGGACTGCGTGAGCCGGTCGTCCCCCCTCTGGCGATCTCCAAGGACTGAAGCAAGAAGACTAGAAGCGGAAGCTGAAGAAGCGGAAGCTCAGCAGCGGAAACTGAAAGACTAGAAACGGAAGTTCAAGTAGCTGAAGCTCAAGAAGCTGAAGCAAAAAGACTAGGAGCGGAAGCTCAACAGAAGCTGAAGCAAGAAGCGGAAGCTCAAGAAGCTGATGCAAGAAGACTGGAAGCGGAAATGGGTTCAAGGACAAGCCAACTACGACCACTTGGGACTGCCTGAGCCGGGTCTCTGTCCACTCTGAAAACAACATGACAGCAACGATCCTTTCGAACTCATGGGGTTTAGGGCTTGGGGGTTTAGAGGGTTGTAGAGAAGTTTCGGAGTTTAGTGAGTCAGTTGAGGGGTTTCATGTGGCTCTAGCGGGGTCAATTTTGTCAATGCGCATGGGGCAAGAATGTCATCTACATTTATTTACAGATAATGAGAGGCGGTACAGGTGAGGTCTGCCGGACCACAGAATCCTTGTAAAATGGGGGGCGGGGTAAAGTTGACGAACCACCGGAACCGCTTATAAGAAGAGAGGGGACTGCGGTGGCGTGTGAAGATAAGCATGATTTACTTCT